TGCATTTAGCACCGTCAGGTTTCAATTCCCTACGGTTGATGATGTAACTCAGCACTACGTACCCCTAATAAGGAATGTACCATAATTCCCATAGTTTCGGGTCCCTAAGGTAATGCAGGATTTATACTATCAACAGTAGGACACTGATGGCCTTGACATGGTTGGGACAAAGAACGGGATTCTCGACCCTGAAAGTCTGATCACTTGAACTGGTTGCGGCTGAGATTGCGGTGGTCGTAGTAGTAATAGTAGTAGTAGTAGTAGTAGTAGTAGTAGTAGTAGTAATAGTAGTAGGCGCATACTACTGCTGCTGCCCCTCTTCCCACCACCACCACCACCGCCATCACCACCGCCATCACCACCAGCACCAGCGGCACCGCCACCACCACTACCACCGACACGACGGCGGAATTGAAAACTGACATCAAGGGGTGTGCAGTCAAAAGCCAGTTCTCGCATATCGACATCATGAAGCTCCTTATATAGATCGCTCAAACAATTCTAGTTCTAGCTGCCGTCGTACTTGTTGTGACTCCAGTTGTTGTTTTTAGGTAGTAGTGGCTGTAGTAGTACCAGTAGAAGCAGTCAGTTGTACAAGTAATAGGAAAACACATGGTGGAAGTAGTAGTTGGAGTAGTAGTTGGAGTAGTTGTTGGAGGAGTAGTAGTAGTAGTTGTAGTAGTAGTAGTAGTAGTAGTAGTAGTAGTAGTGCAATACCATACCATGACCTGGAGGTCAAAGTCCTCTGCTGCGCACCGGGATTGGCGTCAACCAACCTCCAGGCCAGCATGGCACCAATGAACCGAACCGGCCACATCCCAATCGTTGCCGGAAGTTCAGCGTTCAGGGTGGTGGAAGTGGCACCACACGTCTGCATCTTTGCTGCTTGACCTGTTCAAGAAGATCCAAAAGCCTCTCACTCTAGCAGTCTAGCACCGCATATGTTGCGCACTTGTCCTTTCACCTGCAAGCCATGCGTTGCAAGATTGCCAGGTCACCACGAACCAGAACGACGGCATGGACTCGACTTGGATCATGCTGCCCAGATGATTTTTCAGTCATGCACTAGCACACAGCCCTGACTCGTCGATTGCGTATGTAACAGAAGCAGCAACCCCAGAAAGGGCAGGCTAAACAGACATCAACGGACCCTAGGCTGCGAGGCATGTCAGGATGCGTAATCAAGCCGTTTGAAAGACTTCTTGGGAATCCTGCAAACGTCACGTCCCGCAGCATCGGGTCTACCAGGCCTTGCCCATGCCTCCTCCCCAACCCGAGAAAGCAGATGCAAAGAGAGCATGGGCTCCCCTCGGACATCTTGAGCCCCAGACATGTGAAATCTCGAGAGGTGTAGGGTCCTCAACAGTTTCAGCTTCGTTCCTGAAGAATCGTTTGAGCCACATGGAAGGGCGATTGGGGGAAGCAGTGTGCACGATTGCTCCCCTAGTGAAGAAAAATTTTGGGATTATCGAAACTAGAATACAGACTAGGCGTCCCAGATCGTAGACCGTCGCGCGCCTGAGTCTGGAGGTTTAGGGCTTCGGGTTCAGAGTTCGTGCCATAAGCCGGCATGCAGCGCTGCAACCTCTCACCCATAACAGCAGCTTTCGCACTCCCCGTTCTCTCTATTCTCTATCCAAAACCCTTATACAAATTTGAAGAATATCTGTGGAACAGCATGGGCAAAGTGCAAGCAGTGCTGACTTGATGCCAATGGTCTTAAAACCAAAACCTCGAGGCCCCAAGCCCCAGTGCTATCTAGTTCGTCATGTACCATAATCACATCCCCAGGTGCACAAGCCCAAGGCAAGAGTGAGAGACAGAGAGAGAGAGCTCTTTTGCCGGCCGTTCTATACTTGTTAAATGTTCCCTTTCCCGGCCTCCGGTCACTTGAACGGCATGGTAGTCTTAAGCCGGTTGTGCCAGCCCTTTTTGGGAGACGGGGGAATCGGAGAGTCAATCCCTGATCATTTGTCTTTCCTCCCGCAGCATAGAGCCCACATGACACAGAGATCCATGCTCCCTTTGAGAAAGGCGCTTTAAATTGCTAGAAGGAGCCCTATACGATCGAATGCAACGTTCCGAACCCTGCGTGCTTGGATGTAGCTCTGGGTGGCTCTTGAACTCGACAGGCGAAGGGTCAGTGGGCTGTCAGTTGAAGCTTTAACGTCGGTCTAGGGTTTAGGATTTAGGTTGTCCTCAGGAAGTACGGGCAGTCGGCAGAAGACGGCACTATGCCTCTCGCGCATTGCTGCTTTGGAGAAGGACATGCCAGCCTAGTTGGGTGTCTGTGTTGTGGGGGTGTGGGGGCATCTTGGTCCTTATGGGCGCTGCTGACTTGCAATAAAGACCCTACTTCATATGCCTGAAGAAGCTCAGTGGACCGTTAACTCACAATTCAGAGAGAGCGAGAGAGAGAGCCAGAAAATGATGATTTTGGTACTGCTGAGTCGGAGGGCAGATTGGGGAAGTGCTTCCGCGAACCCATACCCCACCCCAGAGGTTTGGGGCGTGAGCATTCTGGATATCAAAATCCTGAGTTCAACAGATTCGTTTTGTAGTTTCAGGCTTGTGTGGGAGGGGTGTTCGGTGACCTACTTAGAGTGTAACCGTAGGATCCTGGCAAGTAAGATCATGCTGCGCAAAAGGCCGGGTCGAAGCAGTGCGCCCTTTGCAAGATGTACGCCTATCAAGACCTTTCAGACTCCTACTAAGCATGAACCCTAACCCCTAAACACTAAACCCTAAACCCTAAACCCTAAACCATAAACACTAAAATGAACCGTGAGTCCTTCAAAGAGCCTCGAAGCCTCAAGCGTCGGGCATGCCCTGTACTCTCGCTGCAGGGCGGGAGGACTTCCTGCTTGATGTTGGTGTCCTGGGTACACATAGATATGGGAGTTTCCGAATATAAGGGGTACCTTATTTTGGGGTCCTTCTAATAAGGATCCCATTATTTAGGGCATTATATTAGGGTTTCCTATTTTCGGAAACCCCCATATCTTGCCCTGCCTGCACGCGTCATTCGCTGACTTAGGATACAATCGAGACTTTGCCCAGAACACGATCGATTGACAAGGTTGCTTTCAGGGGCTACCGGGGCTACCATAAAAGGTCAAAACTAGCAACGACAAAGGCGGAGTAAGAGTCAAGCTACTAGTAATATTCCCTTGCTATCGTTTAATCTGCCCCAAAAACCACATTCTAATTATTAGGGGCCTAGGGGTTGTCAAGTGTAGGTCGATGACATTTTCAGGTGGGTAGTTACCGTTATAGGAGCCTTATAGAAGGTCTATATACCTTATGGAAGCCTTATGGAGGCCCTATATACCCTAAACTCCCCACCTGTAGCTTCCTTTAAAGTACCCAGAGAGCCCAATCCCCTTTAATTAAGGAATATACCTTAAATTATAGGGGCCTTAATATTATGATTTAAGGTATATTCCTCAATTAAGGGGTATTGGGCTTTCTGGGAGGAGTGGCAAACGGCGAGTTTTACGAGCCGTCAGTGAAGTCGATGGGCATGCGAGTGCCTCTTGTCAGCTCTTCGTCCTCCCCTTCATAGCTTCGGTTTAGGGTTCCGGGTTCAGGCTTTTGCAGACCGGATGCAAGAAAAGGTTTACTTAGATCCAGCCCCAAGTTCAAATTCCTTCAAACTAGGAGAAAGCGTCCTATACCCCAAACATCCCTAAACCCTAAACCCTAAACCCTCGATGTCTGTTTTGAAGCATGTGTGTGAGTTTCACTTTGCAGACCTCGTACCGTGTGCCTCGCCTGGATTGTCCGAGTGTGAGAGCCGAAACCCTAAACCCTAAACCCAAAGCTATACCCCTTGCTGAAGAGGGTGGGGCTGAGGATTTGGGAGACCCATATCCTGAACCCGCAGGGCCCGATGTATTATTTCATTGGGGTAGTTGTCAAAATTATGGTCCCTTTCGGGGTACCCTAAATAATAGGTGCCGTATTATAATAACGACCCAAAAAGGGACCAGGATTTTGACAACTACCCATTGGGAGGTCTGCCGCGAGTTGAGGAGGCCAGACTTGAACATTTGAGAGACTACGAAACCCTTCTGAGCCCTTGCCTGGTTGCGACTTTGCATGGGGCCGGCATTGGGATTTGGAATCCCAGAGACTCCAAAACCCTTTAATTAAGGAATATACCTTAAATCACATTAGGGATCCTATTATAATTTTAGGTCTATTCCTTAATTCAGGAATATACCTTAAATCATATTAGGGATCCTATTATAATTTAAGGTCTATTCCGAAAATTTAAATCGTAATATTAAGGCCCCTATAATTTAAGGAAGGGTTTTTGGAGTCTCTGGGTTCTTTCATGCATGTTCAGCCTGGTGTCTTAGATTCGATGTGTTGCCCTGGACAACCATAAAACGAACACTCCACCGCAAGGGGTTATGGGCTAGATATGGGAGTTTCCGAAAATTAGGGGTACCTTATTTTGGGGTCCTTATAATAAGGATCCTATTGTTTAGGGTACTATCTTGGGAAACCCCCATATCGCTGATGAGATCACCATCGACAGATGTTGGTCTCTGTAGCGATCCCTTCAACATGCAAGTCTCAGGACATTTGTACATGTGCCCTTGTATACTGAACGCTGGTTCGTATCTGTCAAGGCATGGTTCTGTCGCCGCATCGGCTTGCTTGGCGAATGAGTGCGTACTGGTGATGCGGTGTTTGTCCGGTAATGCGCCATAGACTTGTTAATCCACCTCACACTGGGGAGAAACAGCTGTTAGTTACGGTCATGTGGTTGTGCGCCTGCCAACCAGCATTCATGCTGCTGACCTGCTACGGCTCAGGCCTCCATCTCAAAACCTGCATGATGTGCATATCGTATGTTTAGATGTCCAAAACCGCTTGGGCACGAAGCAGGGATAGAGGGCTAGTGCGACTCATTAACCATCCGACTTGATCGGCGCCCTGAACCTGTCTGTTTCGGTCCTCGCCAGCCTTCTCGTGCCGATTCCACAAGCATGGCCGGCGAGTGGGCGAAGGCAAAGGAGAAGGCCGAGAAAGAGGAGAAAGATCCCGTCGAAGCTTTGAAGCTCGCCAAGCGGATTTACCGTGGTCTCCGCAACAAAGCGGCGAAGGGCGGGGGCAAAGCTGCTCCAATGAAGGCGATGAAAGCTATGGCTTCGATGAAGGGCAAAGCCGTGCCGATGAAGATGAAGGCGATGAAAGCGATGGCAACGATGAAGGGCGCAGCCGTGCCGATGAAGTCGATGAAGGCCATGGCGGCCATGAAGGCAGCGTCGTTTTAAGCACATTTAGTTTTGAAAGGTTTAAACTTAATGTTAACCTCATGTTTATAATCCCCTCCTCAATTATAAAACCCGATCCCCCGAACTCAATTATAAATTATAGCTTCCCCTCAATTATGAAACCCGATCCCTGGAACTCAAATACATAATCTCGTCCCCTAAACCCTAAAACCTAAACCCTAAACCCTAAACCCTAACAGAGCACTTGGCCCTTCTGTCAGCCCTTACTCGGAGGGAGGGGGTTCTTACTGTGAGGTTGACATTGAACATGTTCGGTCAGTCGGTAATTTCGGGCAAGGCTCGTAGACTTCCCTCCATTGGGCGTGTGAGTGAGTGAGTGAGTGAGTGAGTGAGTGAGTGAGTGACTGAGTGACTGAGTGA